ACCCAAAACTATAAAAACCCTAGAAAACAACCTAGGCAATACCATTCAAGACATAGGTACAGGCAAAGATTGCATAATGAAGATGCCAAAAGCAATTGCAACAAAAGCAAAAATTGACAAATGGAATATAATTAAACTAAAGAGCTTCTACACAGCAAAAGAAACTGTCAATAGAATAAAGAGAAAACCTACAGAATTGGAGAAAATTGCTGCAAACTAGGCATCTGACAAAGGTCTAATATCCAGCATCTAAAAGGAACTTAAACAAATTTACAAGAAAAAAAAAACCATAAAAAAGTGGGCAAAGGACATGAACAGACACTTCTCAAAAGAAGACATATGTGTGGCCAACAATATAAGAAAAAGCTCAACATCACCGATCTTCAGAGAAATGCAAATCAAAACCACAATGAGACCATTCACACCAGTCAGAATGGCTATTATTAAAAAGTCAAAACATAACAGATGCTGGCGAGGTTATGGAGAAAAAGCAATGTTTATACACTGTTGGTAGAAGTGCAAATTAGTTCCACCGTTGTGGAAGACAGTGTGGTGATTCCTCAAAGACCTAAAGAAAGAAACACCATTTGACCCAGCAATCCCATTACTAAGTACTTACAAAAAGGAATAGAAATCATTCTATTGTAAAGACACATGCACATGTACGCTCATTGCAGCATTATTCACAATAGCAAAGACATGGAAGCAACCTAAGTATGCATCAATGATAGACTGAATAAAGAAAATGTGGTATTAACACATATACACCATGGAATAGTATGCAGTCATAAAAAGAAACGAGATCATATTCTTTGCGGAGACGCACAGAGCTGGATGTGATTATCCTTAGCAAACTAACACAGGAACAGAAAACCAAATACCAAGTGTTCTTACTTAAAAGTGGGAGTTAAGTGATGAGAACACATGGACACATGGAGGGCAACAACACACACTGGGGCCTTTCGGAGGGTGGAGGGTGGGAAGAGGAAGAAGATTGTAAAAAAAAAAAAAAAAAAACTAATGGGTACTAGGCTTAATACCTAGGTGATGAAATGATTTATACAACAAACCCCCATGACACAAGTTTACCCGTGTAACAAACCTGCACATGTACCTTTAAACGTAAAATAACAGTTTTTAAAAAAGAGAAAATTCATTGTGTAACTAGCAGTGTTGCTGATAGGACTACATTATCATATTAACTATATTAGTACTAATTATATATAGTAGATAGATAGATAGACCAAGATATAGATAGATAGATAGATAGATAGACAGATAGATAGATAGATAGATAGATAGATATCTTGACTCTGCCACTTATTGATTGCGTTACTTCAGAAAGTCACTTAGCTTCTCTGAACCTCATCTTCATATTTCAAATGAATTTAATAATACCTACCTTTTTGGTAACAACATACTAATATAGTTAGGACTATATCAGTACGTTAACTACATAGAGACAGAAGAAAAAATTAAGAAGGAATTTAGGAGTGCTTCTTTGCAGAATATATCAATGATTTTAATATACACATTTTATAATATACATTACAATTGTCACATGAGCAGTATTACAAAACCTGTTTGACTCTGGAACCCTTTTTTGTAAAGCATCTTAAGGGATTCCTGTTCCCTATAGCATACTTTGCAAAATATGCTTTAAAGTAAAAATTCTTTCAGAATGCCTGCATCTAATTTCTTATCTCTCTTTTATTTGATGTAAGCATTTTAAAATAGTGCTTTTTCAAATTGTCAATATCATTTTTTGTTATTTTCTATTGAAATTATGCAACAGTTTATTTTTACTTGTAACTTAAGCAGGATTGAAGGAAAAGGACTGAAGTCTCGTATTTTTGAGAGTCAGAACTGGATTGGAATGCTGCTCCACCACCTATTAAGCTGAACAATCTTGCACAACTCACTAAACTTACTTATGAGACCAAGCTTCCTCACTCTACCATATCAGCACAGACAATAATCAACTTTGCAGCAAATGTAGCAGTGAATTAGGAGTATGGTTACAAGGACTATTTCCACAAATCTCTGGAGAGGATTACACCATAAACATAGACAGGACTAACAAACATCCAGTCAATCGAAATGCCTAGGAAAAACCAAAAGGAAAAAGAAAAGAAACCCAAAGTGATTTGTGACAGAGAGAAGTGTCACAAATTGTACTTACACTCAAAGAATGGGCAAGAGCATGAGCCATGCAGTAGACAATAAATGATGAATAGTTAATTAATTTGGTCTGGTTCACAGAGCAATCTAAACTTTGATGGAAAACAGACATTCCTCCTCCTTGTTGCTGTTTCTTGTTAAAATATCAAGTAACTTTGTAAAATACATTTTTAAAATGATGAGGCTAAGCCTCTGACCAGCAAGCAAGTTGATCGTGGACTAAGGAGGAGGGTTTGGGGTCGTATTTAGTTTTATGTCACATGAAAATGAGTGCAACACAATTTATGATGCTCCCCAGTTATAAGGAACAAAAAGAAGACCGCACCATCAAGTCTTAGTAGTTAAGAACATGGGCTTTGGTGTCCTGGTTTTGAATCTGGCTCTTGTGCTCAGTAGCTATATAATCTTTGACAGGTGGCTTAATATCTCTAAGTACATGGCTCTTCATTTGTATAGTGGGCATAAAAATACAAGCCATTAGAGTTGTTTTTGAAGATGATGGTGGTGTATAAAGTACTTAGAACAGTGTTTGATTGCCAAATTTATATCTCCCTATCCTTCAAAGTCAAATACCAGTGAATGGTAGCTATTGTTAATACTGTAACACTGTTGATATTGTAAGCATATACGTTTTGAACCCAATCAGACCTGAATTCAAATCTTGGCTCTGCCACTAATTGATTGCATGACTTCAGAAAGTCACTTAGTTTCTCTGAACCTCATCTTCATATTTCAAATGAGTATAATACCTACCTTTTTGGTAACAATGAAGTATGTAAGGTATACCTAACACACGGGAGGCACTCATCAAATGCCAGTCTGCTGTCTACCACTTTCCCTAGAAAATAATGTCCAGATTTTCACCATGGAATCCAAGGTCCTTCACAGTGTGACCCCAAGCTCTTTTTCCAGCCCTAGCTCCAAACACCCTCTCACTTATACTCCCTTTTCTCCTTTATACTCCCTTTTCTCCTTTCTTCCTCCTCTCTATTTCCTAACTCCAGCCCATAAGCTTCCTCTCTTAGAAATGGGATTATGTATTTTGAGGAAATAGCCCCTTTTGAGATTCCAATACAAGAAAGAAAAAGAGAGCTCCACATTTGGTCCTGATAATTACTTAAGGTCAAAAGCTCTCTTAGATCAAGGTTCATAGTCATCCCTGAAAGCTGAGTCACTGGTGCCCTCAAATGACAAAAAGTCACAAGGCTTTCTGTGTGTCACTTAGACTGGTTAGAGAAGCATCTAGACTCTACACAGCTGTCTTCTTGCTCTGCAGAATTGAGGGTCGAGGAAGAGGCTTGAGTGCAGGTCAGGGAGAGGCAAGAGTTCATGTCTGAGATGCAGGCAGGAAGATCTGATAGGACATTTGTGAGTCTGGATTGAGTACCGAGAGTAATGGAGAGCCACTGAAGATTTCCAGGAGCACACAAACGTGATCAGACTGGTGTTTGAGCAAGATGGAATATGTGTTATTGCTTAGAGGAAGGCAAGGGTACAAGCAAGGAGACTTTTTGTTATTATTGTCATTTTAACCATTTTTAAATGTACAATTTATTGGCATTAATTATTCACAATGTTGTGCAGCCATCACCACCATCCATTTCCAAAACTCTTCTCTCACCCCAAACAGAATCTCTGCAATCATTAAGCAATAACTTATTCCTCTCTCCCCCAGCTCCTGGTAAACTCTTACCTATATCCTATCTCTATAAATTTGCCTATTCTTTAGAATATGAAATATCTATATTTCATATGAGTGGAATCATACAATACTTGTTCTTTGTATCTGGCTTATTTTAATTAGCATGTTTTCAAGGGTCATTGATATTGTAGCATGTATCAAAGCTTCATTCCTTTTTAAGGCTGAATATATTCCATCATTATGTGTATACCACGTTTCATTTATCCATTCATCTGTTGATGAACAGCTGGGTTGTTTCCACATTTTGGCTATTGTGAATAATGATGCCATGAAGATTGGCATACAAGTATCTATTTGAGTCTTTGATTTTTACTCTTTGAGGTATATACCTAGCACTCAAGTGGAACTTCTGGGTTATAAGGTAATTCTGTTTCACTTTTTATGAATCACCAAACTGCACCAGTTTCACTTTTTATGAATCACCAAACTGCACCACTTTTTATTCCCCCCAGGAATATATGAAGGGGGAGGAAAACTCTTTAGGAAAAAAAATCTAGTACAGAAGTTTTCTGTAGGTATGGCTGCAAATAAAAATGAAGGGAAAGATCTCAGGTGCACAAAATAAGAGTAAGGAGAACGTGGTGGTCAATTGCGTGCCTCTGTGGATGAGAGTAACTGGGCTGCAATGGGGTGAGAGGCTGTTGAATAGGTTTGAAGAGAAAGAGAAATCTGTCATTTTCACAAGGTTTTAAACTTGAGCTACTGAGGAAGATGGTGGTGGAAGTTACAGAGAACTGGTGAGGGTGGCAGAAGGAGATAAGGAGTTAATATTAATTCAACTTTAGACCTATTGGAGTTTGAAGTGTTTTCAAGGCATATGTATTAGTCTGTTTCCACACTGCAAATAAAGACATATCCAAGACTAGATAATTTATAAGGAAAAAGAGGTTTGATGGACTCACAGTTTCACATGGCTGAGGAGGTCTTACAATCATGGTGGAAGGCAAAGGAGCAACAAAAGCATGTCTTCCATGGTGCCAGGCAAGAGAGTGTGTGTAGGGAAACTGCCCTTTATGAAACCATCAGATCTCGTGAGACTTATTCACTATCACGAGAACAGCATGAGAAAAACCTGCCCCTATGATTAAATTACTTCCCCCTGGGTCCCTCCTATGACAGGTGGGGATAATGGGAGCTACAATTCAAGATTCAAGATGAGATTTGGGTGGAGACACGGCCAAATCATATGAGCATATAAGTGAGTCAGTTTGGGTGATCAATAGGGAGGTTTGGGAGGTAGTCAGGGAAGTAATTAAAAAGGACTCCGTTGGTATCGCATGCAAGGAATGAGGGCAAAATCACAGAGGGTTCCAAGGGCACCAGGAAGAGTGAGGGTGAATCTCTGAGTATTTCAGGGCTGGAAGAAAAAAGGAATAAGACCACAGAATTATTTGAGAAGGAAACCAGAAGAAATACATGTTAGTGATTTTTAAGGAGTGAGGAAGAACCCAGGCCATGGTCTTGCCCATCAACTACTTTCTTACTAGCATTCTCAACTCTCTTGCATTATTCTTCATCACACCCAGCTGGCATACCTTCTCCTTGAATGACTCCTTGAAGAGAAACCATAGGCTTTGTAGGCAGTCCGTTATAAATTCATGGCTACATACTTTGGCTGAGCCCTCAACACAAACTTATCCTTGCTTATTCTCACCCTTCAGTGTCTGTTTAGAACATTCAACTCTCCTCCAACCTCCAACCCTTAGATTCACCCTGCTGCCCAATCTCAGCAGACTTCACTGATTCACAAACGGAACACATACGTTTTGAGTTCCCAGCCTCAAACTGTCTTCAGTGCCTCCTATTTTATAGGGAAAATAGAACACATCAGAAGAGCTTTCTATCTTAGCACCCATTCTTTCCTGCTCTCCTATTATGATAATGAAAGCACTGCTCTTGCTCTGATCTAGGCTAACTCTTCTATCTTTGCTCTAGAGGTCCCATTCCCATCCCATTGGTCCCAGTGTCTTCAGCTTCTGGGTCACCCCTAATGTCTTCCCATCACTATTTAAATATACTCATGTCTACAGTTACACCCATGTGGCTTTCCTCCAAACTCCTATCCCCTCCAGCTCTCTCTCCTCCCTGTCCCAATCATACTTCCCAACAGAGTTGTGCACATTCACTGTCTTCAGTTCTTCCTCACTTCTAAATCCCTGGTCCATTCATTTCACTCGAGTCTTTCCAGATAAACTCATCAATGACCTGCTGGTTGATAAACTCAATAGATACTTTTCAGTCATCTTTCTTGACATTACTGATCACTTTCTCCTTCTAGAAACACACTTCCTTCTGGCTTTCTTTTCCAAGTGAAGACTAACATCTTGCCTCACTCTTAACAGATCTGCCTTGTACTTTAGTAATAAAATAGATCTCATCTTCCTCTGATAGCTCCTACCCTTTCTCATATTCATTCTGGCCCAAGCTTCTTGAAAGAGTAGTCTCAACTTTCTCTCTTCTCATTATACTTTAGTCTTTACCAGCTTACTCTCTTGCAGCAAAAGATACTGTCAACCACTTCTGTTCTTGAAAAACTCTATCACTTTGGCTTACTTTTTTTAAAAAAGCATCCACTTTGTGTTTCTCATTCCCTGGCCTCTTCTCTATGTCTCTTGCCACTTTTTCACCTTCCATTGCCTTATTTGTTAGTAGTTTCCCAGCACTAGGGACAGTGATGACTATGAGAGTGCATTTCCCTTAGGGTTGTTCTGAGCATTTAATGAAATAACACAGCTATGACTCAGTTTTAGCTGATTGGTTCCTTGGAGAAGTTGAGTTTAACGTTGTTAACGTCTTGATTTTTTTTTCAACAGAACCCAGAATTCTATTTGAAATATTTTGATTTTTAAGGTTAGTAATAAGTTTGAAAAGAAAGTGCATATGTTGAAAAACATGCCCGAACTCACCCAGATGGCCATCAGTTTGCAATCACTCATGTAGGGTATTTGGATAGCAGTCAATGATTCTTGTGTGCATCTTGGGGTTTGCAAGGACTATTTCTGGGGATTCATCTTGATTGTACCCCTAGCGCCTGGCACAGTATCCTGCACATAAATATACATCGAATGAAAGAGTTTCAGGAACATCTTTTTATTTTTTAATTAACAAACAGGGTCTCACTATGTCACTCAGGCTCAAGTGCAGTGGCACAATCATAGTTCACTGTAACCTTAAACTCCTGGGCTCAAGCGATCCCCCTGCCTCATTCTCCTGAGTAGCTGGGACTACAAGCATGTGCCACCACACCCTACTAATTTTTTTTTTTTTTTTTTTGACAGGGTCTCGAACTCCTGGCCTCAAACAATTCTCCCTCCTCAATCTCCTAAAGTGCTGAGATTATAGGCATGAGTCACTGTACCTGGCCCAAACATTTCCTTTTATAGTTAAATTTCTTCACTGTTATTTAATCTAATGGTTGGCAAAACATTTTGGTTTCATTCTTAGTTTCTGCTAAAGGTCTGCTATTGGCATTTCCCAGCTGTTAAGTGTTGCTATTCCTAGTAGTTTGCTTTAAGATTTGTTTCAAAATATTCTGGATACTTCCTGCTTTTGTCAGACATAGGTCATCACACTCCCTTAACTGTCTTATCACTTTTGTTTTCTGGCACCACCCTTTTCTACAACATAACATTCCTAGTGCATGGAAAATAGTTTCACAGTCGAAGGAATAGTCCAGAATTGTTTCTTTCCCATCAAAGTATCTTCCTTAAATTGTACAGCATAATAATGGAGATGAAGACGGTTTTTTCTAATATTGCATCCATTCTTTCAAAGGTAAGACATTGAAAAAAAATTCATTGAGAGCATACTTGTGTGCCTGGCATAAAGAAGAAAAGACAAAATATGATCTTTTATTTCAAGGCAAGTAAAACAGATGGTAATAGTACAATGTAATATGTGCTATAAAGAGAAAGAAATACACACAGGAGAGGCAGTTGGCCACGTGGCTAAGAACACAGGTTCTGAAGCAGACTTCCCATGTTCCAAGCTTGGCACGACTACTTACTAGCTGTTTGAGCATATTACTTAATATCCTTGTGGCTTGGTTTTCTCATCTATAAAATGGGGTAGTAAAAGAAGCTACCTCATAGATTATAGAGATATAAGTAAATTAATGTGTGCAAAATGCTTAGAATAGTGTCTGGCATTAAGTAAACAATCAATAAATGTTACCTACAGTAGATGCCCCACCTGTATGGTTGGTGTGTGGCGGTAGCTAGGTAAGGAGAAATGAAGTCAGGAACTGATTTTTCTAATAATTATTGATTCAAGTCTGGGAGATTTATTTCCTCAACAAATATTTACTGGGCATTTACTATGCACCAAGTATTAGATATTTAAGTGTAAAGTAATAGGGGTTGGAAATATAAGAGGAAAAGTTCCCACATAATGCAAACAGCAGGTTCAAAGTCACAAGGATGTGAGATGGCAAGGCGAGTTCTTGGAAGGGGAGTTCTTGGCGAATTCAGTGTGATAGGGAATAGGGTGAGAGTTGAAGCAGCGCAATAAATGACAAGAGAAACAAGTGGAGGCAAGGGTGTCTGTTTATAGGCAGCCTTGCATATACATCATACTATGGCATTTGAAATTTATCCTGTAAACACAAGGAGCCAAAGAAGGGTTTAATCAGCGGAGTGATGTGATCAAATTTTGTGTTCTTAAAACACGACTCTGGTGATAATATTAATCTGAGCAAAGTCAGTTTTCTTTAGGTATGGAACAGTTTTCTATGGAAACCAAAACTAATGGGTTTTGAAGTAAAAGCACTTAAAAATTAAGAAGTAAAAGTGAGTTTTCCAAATATGCAGTGAAATACTACTTTGATTTGGAACATGCAGTATTGATCACAAAAAGAAACATGTGAAAAAAAGATCACAAAAGGAAACATGCGGCACTCTGAGTGGAACAAGCAACTCTACCAGTCTGGCCCTTCTAAGACCTATCTCATAACCCTTGTGTGCCTCCTTAATTCCTTTAGCAAATGAACGTTTATTGCACCAGACACTGCTTCAAGCGCTTGATATACAACAAAGAACAACAACAACAACAAACCCACAAAAGATTCCTGCCCTCTGGAAGCTTGCATTTCTCCGAGATATAGATAATAAACACTAAACATACTAAGTACATTACACGATATATTAGAAGGAGATTAAGTGCTATCGAAATAAAACAGAGTAAGGAAAATTGGGACTGTGCATTTGTGATAGGAACCAAAAGAAGCTAACAAGTTTTAAGTGGATGATTTCAGCAAGGAATGAAAGGAACTGCAAAGTCCTCTGCAGTGTAGAATTCATGACAAACTCTATGCTGGGGGCAAAGTCCTGTCGCTGCACATGGGTCTCAGCTGCAAAAAGAGAGTCACCAGGAAAAACTGTGTATGTATATGTATACATACACAAACACAATAATAGATGATTTATAAATCATAGATGTGACTTATACGTGTGTGTGATTTGTAAAGCCTATGTAAGCCTACTTTAAACAATATGATGTGGACAAGGCTTAAAACGGGCTGGAACATTTTCCCCCTATTATTTCCACAATAAACAATTCCTGGGCATGGTGGTGATGATGTGTGCACGCGCGAGTGTGTGTTGGACAGCATGCCTTCCGTGGAACAGAGCCAGCCAGAGCCCTGTTCTTCTACAACCTGTCCTATCAACAGCCTAACCAGGCAGGAACCTCGATTTTTTTCTTCTTACCACAAAAGCAAACCAAACCCCTTCCACAACCTAGTATCATAGCGCGGTGTCCTTCCTCACTAACCCACCACTGCTTCTCTAGTCCTGACTCCAAGGGAAGAATGCCATCTACCGAATCATCCGTACCAATCAAGCAGCCCTGCAAAGTGCAGCAACACTCAGCTCAACGCCGGTCAGCTCCAAATCCCCTGCCTCTGATTATTCTTTGGCCTTTAAAATATTTTTGCCACTATTTGGGCTGACAGGAAGTTATGCTCTCGGCCCAGATATCTGATAAACACTTCCACATATTGTAGCCTTCTCAATAGCTTAGCCAAATTTCGGCGTCCTCGCTCAGTCTGCATTTTCCTTCATTGCGCTTTCACGTTTGGAATGCCCCAGTCTCTGCAGCCTGCAGACAGCGGAAACCGCGGGTGCAAACGTGCAGGGGCCGCTGACACGACCGGTTGCTGAAGCCCACTCAGGGTTAGACAGGCTAGCGTTGGGGATTGCACAAGAGGTCAGGCGATGCTGTGGGCTTCCAAATTTGCACAGCCGCGACACTCTGCGACATGCCACCCTATCCCGAGGCCTCGGGACTGTGGGTGGGGCGGGGGATACCCTCCGCAGTCCCCTGAAAGCGAGGCAGGAATCACTACAACTCCTCTGCTTAGGCTGAGGTCGCCACCGCTCCGTGGATGCAGGCGCTGCAGCGGCGCCTTCCGCCGCCGCGGGCACGGCGTGGCGCGGGAAGGGATGGGGTCGGGTGGGAGTGGGCAGGTGGCGGTAGAGGCTCGTGTCCGCGCACTGGAAGCCCCGGTGCGTGACACAGGCCGGTGAGCTCCTGCGGGCTGCACCCACGCGAATTCACAGACCGAGAAGGTCAGCCGGCGGTCGGTGCGCTAACCTACGTAGAGAAACGCCCGTCAGGCGCGCCGCAGGCTGGGACCAGGCGACTGGGGCCCAGGCTGGAGGAGGGCTGAGGAGGGTTGCGGGGGCGGGCCCCGGCGCTGGGCGCCCAGAGCGGAGGGGGCGGGCCCGAGGCGGGGCGGGCCGCGGCGCTGACTGGCTGTCGACGCTGCACTAGCCTCCATCCCGCGGTGCCGAGCGCAGGCGGAGGTACATGGCCCCGACGGGAGGCGCGCGGCCGGCACCCGGAGCTCAGCTCCCCGCCTGAGCACTGCAGCCGCGCCTCGGCCCGCGCGTCCTCGCCCCTCCGGCCGGCCGCCCGCGGACATGATCGTGTAGCCTCCTCCTGGGCTGGGATTTGTTTGAAGATTTTCTTCATGGAAGCAATGTCCCCCCAGCAGGAGACTCTAGGGGGACAGCCGGGGCGCTCCTCTTCCCTGACAGGAGTGTCTCGGCTCGCGGGAGGCAGCGGCACCAAGAAGGTGAGGACGCTGAGCGGGGGCCCGTGCCCTCCGCCGCCGCAGCCCCCACTCTCGGCGCGCGCCCTCCGCGCCCGCCACAGTAGCGCGCTAGGCGGACGCCGCGAGGATTTGACGCTCGAGGCTCGCGGCCTCTAACGGGAGTCCCAGAACACTTCCCGCCCTTGACGACCGGCAGCGCCGCCACCTCCCGCGGAGCGCCCGCTTCTCCGTTTCTAGAGCCTTAATCTTTCCCCGAGCGACCCCGCAGCCTCCCTCCCGTCTCCATCCGCCGCCGGATCGGCAGCCCGGCTCCTCCCTCAGTCGAGGCGCGCGGGCTGGAGTGGGCGATCGCCTTTCCCCGACCCCTCGCCGTGTCCCTGGGCCCCCCGAAGTGGCCTGGGCGAGCACTGCCCTTTGGCGGGGTCAGCCCCGAAGTCAGGCCCGGCGATGTCTGCCCGGGAGCGGCAGCCGGCGCTGAAGAAGGTAGGCGGCGGGGCTGCGGCGCTAGTGGGGTCGGCCCCCTCACCTGCCCGCCGAGGCGCGGCTGCTCCATGGCAGTTTTCAGGGGGCAGATATAGGGGGGTACTGCCCCCCACACTAGGATCCTGGATGATTCCAGGTCTCCGAGGTGGGGGTCACAGTTGGAGGGGAGACTGTGGATGCTAAGGGTCGACTCTACGGTGACATGTAGGTTTGGCTGGGCCTAGAACCGGGCAGGGTGGGGGCGGGTGGGCTGTGGTTGGGGGTCCTGAGGGCTGTGGTTGGGGGTCCTGAGGGCTGAGGCGGGGCCCTTCTCCCTGCGCTGGTCCCCTGGCCCCTGGGACTCTGGCCGGGCTGGAGAGGGGTCCAGGTGTCGGTGTGGGCGTGGGGGCAGCGCGTGTTCCCTGTCAAAGCTGGGAGATGGATGCAGGTGACAACTTGTAGCGTTCCATTCCAATAAACACAGCCGCGGTGCTGCGGGAGGATTCCGATCCGGGTCAGGTTTCGTTGGAACGGTTCCCTTAGCAAGTGCACGTGGGCCGCGGGCTGCCAGCCTCGGCCGTTCCGCTCCCTGAGGAATTGATTTGGGTGTTTCTAGCCCTGTCTGCCTATCCCCCGCCTCCTCACCCCCGCCCCCAGTATAAGACGTTCTGATATTTGGCCATTTTTTTCCTTGTCTTAGTGGTACACTTCCAGCTTTTCTGGAAACAAGTGGCGATTAGAGGCATCTTCTAGCTTTTCCTTAAGAAATATCTTAAGGGGTTGCATTTGTTTCATTAGAGACTTAAAGGGGTTACGCAGGTTCCCTGCTTGTCTTATTTTACTGCCTTTCATAAATCTTCCCACCAGGATCTTGGGTTGGCTAGAGGTCAGTTGAAGAGAGGTGATCGGTGTGCCGAGTATAGAAATGTGTGGGAGTTCCCAAGGACCTTGACCGTGTCACGGAGCCATCGAGGGGTGTCCGTGAATTTGATGATGTATGGGCTGTAGTGCCCGCTTAGCCTTTGATGTATTGAGGCTGCGGTTTGTCCTTGTCGCTTTTCCCCTTCAGAGGTGGAGGGAATGTGTGTGTGTAGTCAAGTCTTCCCAAATAAAACGTGAATTTATCAGGCTAGCCCTACATTTACTGACATAAATTTTAAAACTTAAAACATTTTCTTTTTGTAAACGTAAGGAATTGGAAGAAAAAGATTTATTTTTCTCAATAGTTTTCTTTTTCTTTTTTTATTTTATTTTTTTTAGCTAAGGGTAACACAGCCAAAGGGAGGAAGCATTAGAGAGGAACTTCATTATCATTTATCAAGTAATGCTTGTCCAATAAATGCAGGATTGCTTCACTCTTTTCTCACGTTCTTTTTACTCATCGTAGTCACTATCCTTAAGATGTTGTCATTTGTTATGAAACAACAGCTTCACACATTAACAAACCAGTACCTACCTTTCCAACATCGTTGGGAAAAGTAAATGTGAAATTCAGTAAATAATGACATATAAAAGACACTTAATAAATGTTAGCACTTACTGTTTGCAATATTCCTGTATCTGTAATTCATACCTTTGTGTCCCAGTTGTTCAAGCCAAAAATTTAGGATTCATTTTCAACTCATTTCCTCTCTCTGCACCAACCAATCCATCAGGGAAGCTACTGTCAATCCGAATGTGTATTGAATTTCTCCACTTCATCTCCACTGTTGCCAGTGTAGTCCAAGCCAAGCCGCCATCTCTCACTTGTACCTTTGCAGAAATGTCTTAACTTGCCTAACACCTTTCTTGCCCTTTTTTGATCCAGTCACCACTTAGCACCAGAATAATCTTTCATAATGTAAATTAATCATGTTGCGCACATGCTTAAAATCCTGCAGTGACTTTTCATCCATTTGTAATAAAATTCAGACCCCTTTTTCTTGGCCCTGTCTACTTCTCCCACCTCATCTACGCGTCCCCCCTTGTTTGTGTATTCTCCAACCACACGGGCCTTCTTCCTCTTCATGTATCAAGTCGTCAAATTCATTCTTATTTTGAGGCCTTGATGGTGTTTCTCTGTGCTTCAGCCCCAGGTCTTTGCAGTCTTGACTCTCATATTGTCAGATCGTAGGTGCTAGCAGAGGCCTGCCATTGACTACCTAAGTGGAAGTTGCTCCTCAGTCATTCTGTATGCCTTCTGCTTTATTATCATCTTAGCATTCATCCTTGCCTGATATTTTCTTATTTACTTGCTTGTCATCTGTTACCCACATCCCTCACCAGATTGTGAAAACCATGATAATAGGGACCTTATCTGTATTGCTTAAGGCTACCTCTCCAGTGCCTAGAATAGTGTCTGCTGTATATTAAATAGATTTTCCATAAATATTAGTTGGGTTATGTACAGCAGTGAACAGGACAGATGTGGCCCCTGGCCTCAGAATTTATGGCTCAGAGCAGGGTCAGCAAACCTTTATTTAAAGGACCAGATACTAAATATTTAAGGTTTGTAGGCCCTCTGTTACAGGCTACTCAGTTCTGCCATTATAGTGCTAAAGCAGCCATAGACAACGTAGAAATGAATGGACATAGCTGCGTTGTAATAAAACTTAGTTTGGAGAAACAAGTGGGAGTCTCTGTGGTGTAGTTTCCTCTCTCCTGACTATGGGAGAGTAGTGCCACTGAGTAGTACATTGTGTAATGATAGAACTCCTTTATCTACCGTGTCCAGTTCAGTAGCTACTAGCTACATGTAGCTATTGAGCTCTTGAAATGTGGCTGGCATGACTGAGAAACTAAAAACTTTTTAACAGCTTCACTGAAGTATAATTGATATAGAATAAACTGCACATATTTAAAGTATATACATTTAATAGTTTTGACATATATATACGCTAGTGAAACCATCTCCACAGTTTAGCTAAGGAACATATTCATCATCCCCCAGTGTTTCCTTATGTCTCTAATTCCTTAATTCCCTCCCCATTCCCACACAACCACTAGTCTGTTTTCTGTCACTGTAGGTTAATTCACATTTCCAAAGATTGTTTGTAAATATAATCATACTTTATATTCTTTTTATGTCTGCCTTGTTTCATTCAGTACAATTACTTTGAGGTTTACCCATGGTTTTGCATGTATCTATAGTTCATTTTGTTGCTGAGCAGTATTCCATCATGTAAATAGACCACAATTTATCCATTCATCTGTTGATAGGCATTTGGATTATTTCCAGTTTTAGGCTATTACAAATAAAATTGCTGTGAACATTCATGTACAAGTATTTGCATGGACTTCATTTTGGGGGGGTTAAATACTTAGGTGTGGAATAGCTGGATCATATTTAACATTTTAAGCATGTATATGTGTGTGTGTGTGTGTGTGTGTGTGTGTGTGTGTGTATAACATTTTAGGTATATATTTAACATTTTTAAGAATCTGTCCAATTGTTTTTTCCAAAATGGTTTTGTATTCCCCCTGGCAGTGCATATGAGTCCAACTTCTCCCAATTTTCACCAACACTTATTATTATCTGCCTTTTTTTATTACAGTCATCCTAGTGGATGTAAAATGCTATCTAATGGTTTTGATTTGCATTTCCTCAATGACCAGTGATATTGAGCATCTTTTCATGTGCTTATTTGTCATCCATATATTATCTTTGGTGAAGTATCCAAATATTTTGCCCAATTTTGTGTTTTTCCCAGTCTGTGACTTGTCTTTTTACTTTCTTAAGAGTGTCTTTCAAAAGAACAGAAGTTCTTATTTTTGGTGAAATACAATTTGTCATTTTTTTTTCTGTAAGCTTCTTAATTATGATCAACTTGAATTTAA